GCAGAAAGTTGACCTCCTGAAGGTTATCTCTCGTTTTCGGGTTCATTCCGTATGTTCCTCTCGCCTTTCTTTCGTTGACCCCACATTTGATATCGTGATGGGGCGCTAGTGGTAAAGTGGAATCACGACTGAGTTGGACTGGCTCAAGCATCGAGGGTTCGAATCCCTCCTGGTCCTCATTGCCTGATCCAGTGGCGAAGGTTTTTTTTTCCAGCCTCGTGAGTAATTGGCGCTAGCTTACAGAGGTCAAGGACGACTCGTTCGGCGGGTGAATACCGTTCATAGTCGAACGCGGGTATTGCTTTTCCCGTACGACATATACAGCACCGTATCTGTGAGCACTCGATCTATCTCCTTTCACTAAGACCGCCCTTTAGAACCTTCTTCCGGTCCTGGACCACATCCAGCAACCACTCATCCACCTCTTTGTCATCCTGACAGGCGATATTTACGACCCTTGAGTCGTCCACGCTGGATTTATAAACCGAAATCCCGTCTACGTCCGCGTAATTTCCATCCAAGATCACGAGTACTTCTACTGTGGGGAGTTTTGTGAGAAGAAGAGGAATGAGGTTCTCGTTACTTGGGTATGGGAAAGTAAGGTGCGTGATGGAGGTGAAATATTCAAACATGGTAATGTCCACTTCGGATCTAATGATTGCCACATTGTGTAGGTGCGTGATCCGGATCCTCTCGAAAAGTTGAATCAATTCGGGGGTCTCCCAGGCAGAACTGAAAAGTTTCTTCAAGTTGATTGAAAGGTGCGTAAGAGCCCGAAGACGTGCGATATGGTCGAGCAGATCACTGGACAGACCCATTGTGTGAGCGGACCAGAGGATGAGGTTGGTTAGATTTAGACATAAGGAGATGTAGTTAGTAGATAACGAATCATAGTCAGGAGAGGCAAAACGTGATGTCCAAATGAAGAGATGTTTCGTGTGGATGCCGTACTTTGAGAGGATATCGATGTCCCACGAGGCTGGGTATTTTTGAGCTGGTGGGTATGTCCGGATGGCAAAAGTCTCCGTTAGTTTTGGGATTAGCCTTGAAATGCAGTCTTTCGATCAGAAAAGCAGATCTCGCTGTCATTAGATGAGAGTAAGATGGACGCACCACAGGTGGACTCGTTTTGCTACTAATACGAGGTTACCAGCGCCCTCGCCGATGTCTTTGATAGAGAGTGCATCCGTGAAGATTGTTCGATTTCGGGGGGAAAAACTGGGTCTGGCATGGGAGATGGAGGCGAGCGTCATGAAAGCATGTAACGTGAGCAGAAACTCTAACAGCTATTTTTGGTTCCGTCAGCAGCCTCCAAACATTCAAGCGCCTGTCCCGTTTCTTTCCGTCACCCACTCTATCCATCCTCGATCTGCCCACAGATTAGAATGGCTGGTTATCCGATCTTCCCACTGGAGATCGAATACATCATCTTCACAACTGCTCTCCAACTGAGGCTCGAGGATAATGACAGAGTTGATCTGATCTTAGTCGCGAAACGAGTTCACGAGTGGTATGTCACTTTAATTCCTTCAAGTCGTGCATAACCTCAAAGATCACTTCTGATTACTCTGAAGGCTAATTTCAAAGATATATCAAACAATGGCTGTTCAAACAACCCCCCCTTATCTAAAGTACCCTAACCGATTGACCATCAATAATCTCCGAAAATATGGTCACCATACTCAGAACCTCCTTGTTTCCCTCGACTCTACCGTATGGATCCCAGGAGATCGATACCTCTCTTTTTGCCCCAACACGACCAACTTAGTTCTTCAGACAAGAAATCATCCAAATCGAACTTATCTTGAACGTATATCCTGTCTCCCTCTAACCCATCTCTCAATAGACATGATATACCCCCCAAGTTCTACTCCCGGACTGTTCCCTCTCTTCTCTAGGATCACACACCTTCGCGTCTTCCACTCACTTTCGAGTGACAATACTACTCGATTTACGTCTCTCACCCACCTCGCCATCTTCAGTACAAATAACGAAATGATCCACACTTCGATCCTCGAGAATCATCCAAAGTTGGAAGTGTTGGTCTTGTTGGAATGGGGTCTTGTTGTGGAGGTCACAGGGATTTTTGACGCAGAGGTTGATGACCCGAGGATAGTAAGAATCACGTATAGGAATGAACTTTTAGTGGGGGATTGGTTGCTGGATGTGAAGGAAGGACGAGGGATGTGGGGGTTATCTGATGAGGAGGTTCGAAAGCGTAAAAAACTCAAGGAGGCTTTATGGAGGGTGCCTCAGTGAAAGGGGGCGTGTTTATATTGTTTTGTACATCACTATCACTGAAATCGACATTTGCACCCTGTCTCTGCAGTTGTATGATACGATTATACCAATGAAAGATGCGTTGATCAACTTCAAATTGAATCACCCTGTTGCGCAGCGTTCCCTCTCTTCTTCTTATGATACCCTCGTACGCCATAAACCTTTCTTTTGTCTAAGCGACGTCGAGATTCTAACTGTGACTTCTCGTTTTTACGTTGACTCCAAATGGTCCTCTCGCCTTCCATCCATTCGTTCTCCTTGCATTTCGTCCCGACAGGCACTCGTGGTGAAGTGGAACCACGGTTGAGTCAGATCAGTTCCGGCTCGAAAACCGCGGGTTCGAATCCCTTCCGGTGTTCATATCGATGTCTCCGTATTTTTTTGCAATTGGTCCCGGGTGAAGAGAAGTCATAGTGGGACAAGTTTGTCATTTTGAGTTCTGACAAGACGACGAGTTTGACTCCAAGCTGCGGGTGGTGTGGTTGTACCTTCATCTTTCTGACAGATATTAAGTGCACAATTCGAGCTGAAGAACATACTAGATGATATCAAAGGAGGGAGTACTTCACTACGAACTGGATCACCCTCTCAAGCCAAGTGGGCTCTCCTGCATTCTCCTGGTGACCGCCTCTCCTGCCAAGCCCCAGATACCTCGTCCGTACTTGACATCTTCCAACCAATCACCCACACCATTTTCGAATGGGAGACTCATCTTCACCACTCGAGGATCGTCCAGATCCGGATTAAATTCCTCTACTATCGATACGGTCTGATCGTGGCTTTCGTAGCTGTCGGAAACCCTCAAGGATATCACCGTCTCTAATTTGGGAAATCGACCAAAAAGGATTGGGAGGATGGGTCGCTCCATTAAGTTGTACCAGGGAATCGAAACATGTGTAAGAGAGGTGAAGTGGATGATGTGGCCTAGTGTAACGTTGACGCGACCAAGACAATCTAAATGGGTAATTCTCGAAAAAACCTTGATAAGGCCCGGCGTGGGGTTTTGGATCACGTTTAGGTTGATCGAAAGGTGGGTGAGGTGAAGGTGGGACATAGTGTCCATCATATCTTGACTGATGTGCACCCAACAAGATAAGTTGGTGACATTCGGGCACGATGAGAGGCAGAGCAAGCTCAGCTCTGGCGGCGAATCCCGGAGAAAGAGGTTCTGAACGAAATGCCCGAATTTTTCGAGGTTGGCATGATCCCATTTGATCGGGTAGTCTTTCGACTTGACCATATGCACGGTGATCGTCTCATAGAGCTTCGGGATAAGCCTGCGATTTCCTCAGAGTCAAAAAGTGCCGCATGGGGAGACCAAAAAAGAGCAGAAGGTGAACTCGCCAGTAGTGTACACGCTTTGCTACGAGGATGAGATTGATAGAGAATGGGACAAGATCATGTAGCGTTAAGGCATATGTGAAGATAATTTGTTCGATTTCGGAAGGGAAGATTGGGTCGGCCAGGTTGACTGAGGTGTTGTGTAAACCTTGCAGGCGGAACAGTGGTGAC